TTCAGCCATCTGACGTTTACTCTACCATAATTTACACATTCTTTAACATAATGCTCATGAATTTCTGTCATATGTCTTAATTTACCACTACCTATAATTTTAGCATTTTGCTCAGCCGCCTTATTGTCGCACCATAGATCTGCTGGACACAAAGTATTATTCAGTATGATTTTAATCGAATTATCAACTGCCATCAGTTCTCTACATGCTTCACTCAGTGACACATACTCTGCCTGACATGTTGACAAAGACACATACGTTTGTTTGTGAGTTCTCCATGCCACTGAGTCTCCAAAGATTTTAATCACGTAACCACTTGTAGTTAGAGACCCTTTACAGTCGCCAAAACTGGCATCGGAGAATGCTTCCAGCCTTTGCTGCCTTCCACAATATCTTAGACCACAAGATTTGGTCCCTGCCAGATACCGAAACACTCTTTTAACCATGTTCCAGTCTTCGTTAGTCGGACTTATTTGATGCCTGCTCAGCACATTCACTGCATAGCTTATATTCGGACGTACAGTATTGGCAGCATATAATAAGCACCCAACAGCCTCCCGGTAGGGAACGCTTTCAGTCGATCTGGACTCATTCAAGTCAATCTGCCTTTCTGATTGCTCTCTTTGTTTTCTTTGTTGATTTAACACGTGACCTGTGACCATAGGAGTTTTCACTGGCTTAGAATCATCAAACCCAAACTTTTTAAGTATCTCATTTATGTGATTGGTGTGAGTTAAGGTTAGAACTTGGTTTTCTCTGTCTCTTCTGACTTCAATGCCTAAAAACGAATTAACCTTTCCTAGATTTTTCAAACTCACTTTGCAGTCTTTCCTTCACAGAATTAAATTTGCCAGTATCATTAATTGCTATAAGCATGTCATCAACATAGAGAACCAACATCAGAATTTTATCTGCCTCTGGCCAAGTAAACAGACAAGGTTCCAAGATGTAAAATCTTAGACCTATTTTCGTTGCAACCTCCGAGAATCTTTCATGCCATTTTTTCGGACTGACTTTAAGGCCGTAGAGGGCTCTCTGAAGCTTGCACACCTTGCTCTGTTTTTCCAGATCGGAAAAGACCAAACTTTCTGGTAACTCCATGTATATCTCGTCGTCAAGAGTACTATTTAAAAATGCCGTTTTAACGTCAAGCTGACATGTATCCAAATTTAATTTATTGATTACAGCCAAAGCAATTCTTATTAAAGTCAGTCTTGACACCGGGGCGGAAGTCTCCGTAAGATCATACTCATTTTTATCTTTAAAACCCCGTATTACCAGCCGTGCTTTGTGTTTCTCACATCCTTGAGCATCAACCTTTTTCTTAAGAACCCATCGAGAATCGATGATATTCGCACTTTACCATTCACCAGTCCTGCAGGTCTGTTTACCAACTTCCAGACCTGATTCTTTGCCATTGAGTCAAGCTCTTCTTGGATGGCTTGATTCCAGCCTTCTTTATCCACAGTCTTCATTGCTTCTTTGTATGAAGCTGGATCTTTATTTATTTCTGCCAGCAAAGAGTGGTAAACTAGATCTTCCGCATAAATGGTATTATCTCCTGACGTTTCAGTATCACCGTTTATGAAAATTAGGTTTTTTGTTACTTCTTCCCCGAGAGCTAAGCCCGCAAAGCTGACGTCTTTACCACGACTTTCTTGGACCAAGTTGACCTCCATTGTTTCTATCAGTCTTTTCGGCCTTTCTCTTTTCCGTTGTACCTCCGGGGGCGCGGGCGCTTCCTCCGATGACACTGTCTCTTCTCTTTCCTTTTCGAATTTTAAAAACCACTTGACTAATTTAATATCTACAGTCACATTTTCCCAGTTTTTAATTGAATTTTCACCAAAAACGTCTCCATACACAAAACGCTCGTTAAATCTGACGTCCCGATTTTCATAAAACTTTCCTTCATCCAAAGGACAAAGCAGACTATACCCTGTCGGCGTGTATCCTACCATAACTGCTCGTTTCCCTTTTGCTTGGAATTTAGTTTCGGTGTTTCTCTGAACTCTGAAATACGCGATGTAGCCGAATCTTTTCATCTGACTTAGGTCTGTCTTTTTATTCGGAGCCAGCTTCATTAAAGGGATTTCCATGTTATTTGAGCGATGCAGAGTACGATTGTACGCAAATACAGCTGCGTTTAGTGCCAAGTCCCACATGTTTTCTGGAAGTCCCGAATCACATATCAGAGCTCGGACTTTCATTTGAATTGTTTTGTTCAGCCTTTCTAACGTACCATTATGTTCAGGGGTATCTGGACAACTCAGTTGGAGTTCAGCTCCAAGGTCATTTAATATTTTTCGTACGGAGCCTCCTGTGTACTCGGTACCCTGATCAGAGTCTTAGATAACACACTTAAGCTTCAAACCCGAGAAGATTTCTACAGCCTTTTACAAAATTATCGAAACATTCACCGGTATCACTTTTGTTTTTCATCGGGTAAGCGATTGCAAACTTGAAATAATCATCAATAAATACCGAAATAAATCTGTATCTTTTGGGTAAGAGGGCGGACTAATAATTCCCATTGTATCTGAATGAATTATTTGCAGGGGTTGGGATGCTTGTTCGCGTACCAAAGGGAAAGGCAGTTTTAGGGATTTTGTTCTTAAACATTCATCACAAGTCTTAATCACATCATCAAATACGGCTTCTTACAGACTTTTTACTTCCGGATAGTTTTTCTGCAGTTCCCTCAGATACTCCAACGAAGCATGGCCCAGTCTGACATGCCACAGCATGGCCCCGTTGTTATCTTTAAATTTTTTATAATTTTCGCTAAACGGACTTTATATGTCTTTTATTTCTTCGGTCAGGACTTTTCCGACTTCATGAAATTTTCTGTCATTTATTAAAAATACATCTTTAAAACTGTCATAATTTAACTTACCGACTGAGCTCTCTGAATTTTCTGACTTATTATTTAATTTTATATCTGCAGTTGTATTTTCAGAAATACTGTGTGTTTTTGACTCAGCCGTCAAGAATTTCATTCTTTTGTTGTCCGACTTAACAAATTCAACCATCCAATAGGGTTTTTCATATATTCCTGATATCCATACATTTTCACGCACACACCACTCCCTTCAACTCAACGTCGTTATTGCAATTTTTAAACAGCAAATTTCCCACTCCCTCCGTTGTCAAGTCTGCGGATGAGTCTGAGTTTGCACATTTTATCTTACCAATTTGTTTCTGTCAATATTTGTAAAGAATTTTTCTGACTTTGCAAAGTTATCAGTTGCTCCCAAATCAGTGACAAATTTAATCTTATTTTCTCTATCCGATTCTGAATTATTTACCCAACCTACAGAGTTTGAAAACAGAGTATTGGGGGACTTAATTAATGTCACAGACTCACCTTTATTTGACCCTAAAGCATTTTGTTTTTCCTTCGTCTCCCGGCCCTGGTCAGAAACTTTCTGCCTTTTGGAATCTTTTTCGTCCCTGACGTTGCTAGAGTCCCTTTTCTGCCTAAAGTTTTGGGAATTAGAGCGGCCTTGGCCACTGCCACGGCCACCGCCGCGGCCACCTCGATTCCCTTGACTTCCACGGCCCTGCCTTTCAAAATCCCATGAATCAGACTTATTTTGCTCACCACATCTCGGGCTGCATCTCTTGTGAGCTGGAATGTCATGCACGAACGTGCCACACGTGTAGCACTTCCTGAGTCCGGTACCTGCCTTCGGACACTTGTCAGCCATATGGTCCCAGTCATTACAGTTGAAGCAGCGGAGTCGGTCCTGGGGCCAAGATGCAGTCAAAGCTGCCCTCGTAGGGCGACCTCCAGTGGCTTCTGCTAGGCCTTCTGACTCAACCCTTAACATGTACGACATGAGGTTTTTATATGTGATACCCTTTCCATCTCTGCTTTGCATTTTAAGCATGAAGTCTGTCACCTGCACGCTAGGTACCGCTCCGATTACGGCAGTATAAAAGGCATCTCGCTTTTCTTCTTTAGAAAAGGGACCAGACGTACTTATACTCTCATAATTTCTGACCAGTTTCTCAAATTTTTCTATGAATTTGGCAACCGATTCTTTCCCTTTGTAAAATTTAACTTCATGCAATTTTTTACGAATCGTGGCTGTTGTAAAGGGCGTCTCCCCCATTCTTAAGTTCTTTCAGACTTGCCAATATTGCAACCGGATCTTGCAGACAAAAAGTTCTTAAATGATATTTTTCCGTTACTCTACTTAATAAAATATTTCTGACTTTTAATTTGTCTTCTTTGATCATGTCTTCGTTAATAAATTCCGTATTTTTAATCGAAGGATCAATGACATATAGTAATCCTTTAGACCGGAGTTCAGACTTAAATTTATCGAGAAAAACTTCGAACTTCATATCTTTAGACAGATGATAATTGTATAAGTGTTGAGTATCACGGCCTAATTTATGTATTTGATTGATGGTTGTCGCGAGAAGTTCCGCGCTGCCTTTAGATAAATTTTCATTTTTTGTGTCATCCAAGAACGTTTTCAATTTGTCTTGTAGACTCACCCGTGTTCTGTCGTTACGAGAAATTGATGACTGCAGGAGTGCCCTGGTTGACGATTGGGCCTCGGATGACTCGACCCTGTTCACCCGCTCGCCCAACCGGGACAACCTCTGGTCAAAATTGCGCATGACCATAGTTATCTCCTCCCTTGTTCTCTCAACCTCCTGCCTTTCTTTCTCTGCCTTCCTTGCCTCTTCGTTTGCTTTCTCCTGCCTTTCGATCATCTGACTAATCGCGGCCATCATCGAGTCAAACCTAGCCAGCATGATGTTTTCTGAAAAATTTTCATTTTTCTGTTTATCTGCCATATGCAACTTCGTTTTGCTGACGTTTATCCATTTATATTTGTTTTCAATGGTTTGCACTTTCTTTACTTTAAGTTGGATATTTTCCGGTGTGCGCGACGGGGAAGAGGGGGCTGCTTCGTGTACAGACTCATTTCCGCCTAATTTCTGCCAAAGATTTTCATTGTCTACATTTATCTCATCAAAGTTTCGGACTTCTGACATTTCAGACTTTTTCTCATCTGACATTTTAAACACGTCGACCAAGTTTTCAAATAACCCGGGTTTATCACGAGCAGGTTCCTCGCTTTTCCCGTCTTCCCTGAATAGATTTTCTGGCAACGTCACTTTGTCTCCCTTTTTACAAAGAAATTCAACGATGTTTTTGTAACTGTCACCGATCAGGTAATCTAAAACAAAAGATGGACATTGTTTTCAGGGAGTCAACTAGAGATCGACCGAACGCAAGCCGAATCTAGTCAACGTGGCCCGAAGCGTGTTCTCGTGCTCAAACACAAAGCACGATTGCACGCTGAGCACTCACACAGCTACGCGCGACCAAACACAAGTCTAACGTGACTGTGCGAGTCACACGGAAAATAATTTCGTCTACATACCTTTGGCGGGAATATCCCTTTGCCCGACACATGCTATTATTCCCCTTTTATCCACCAACAAGATGGCAGCTTGTTGTCGCCCCTCTGACTTGATTTGGGATTAAATTCCCCGTCATATTCTCGACAGAGCATCGATAGTTTGCTCGTCTAAAAGAAAATGTAAGCTTTTAAAATATCAGCCTTTTCTGACTAAATCTAAAAACCGCCTTGAATATTTATTGCCTAGAGTTCAATTAATTAAAAGCACCGGGAAAGGACATATATAATTTTTTGCCGACACACGTTCTAACTTTCCCAGTTCAGACATTTATATTGTGACGCGCACGCAACAGTCGAGGCGACAAGAACAAGAGATGCGAGAAAACTCGAAAACAAAACATAAACGGCCTCGTAATATATTTTCAGTCAAAAAGCCTCGCGTCAACACGAGAGAGAGAGAGAGAGAGAGAGAGAGAGAGAGACCGAACTCTCTCCTCAGTGACAATCTGTTGTCCCCCTCTCGATCCGCCCCGCTCCTGCATGTGCGTGTCGCGCTACCGACGCCACATGTTTCATGGAATCCCGCGCATTTCTCGAAATGCACAAGAAATTCCCTTTGTTACCTGACGTCGTAGCGTCCAACCTAGGCATCACTCGAAAGAACAAAGTGTTGACCTACCGCTGATCTCGGTTCCGGCGTCCAGAGTTGCTCCCCTATCCTCGACCGGCGTCGACAACGCCTGGTCAACAACGGACTCGGCCTGGTCACCAGGGGTCACACTCTCGGCCGCTTCCTCGATCGGACTCTCTTGTCCATCCTTTGCTGTCTCAGCCCTTTCCGCCATCCTCCCTTTTATCACACTCACCCACAGAAAAAAAATTAATATGAGATCACGCGCGGTGATGTGAGTCTGAGGCCCGCAGGAAGAGTTTCTAAAGATAGAGTTTTTTTCGGTTTCTTTGTATTTTCTATCGATTAGTTATAGTATCGAAACATGCGCA